GATAAACTGGTGAAGGAAGTACTTTGAACTGACTAATATGCTGCATGGTCTGGACACAAATTTTACCCCAGGTAAACACATGGAATCATATATTCTTCTATTTTTTTTCTACTTTTCATACTTTTTCTGAGCACTGACCATTAACTTTTTTGGGTTTTTTTTTGGGGGGGGGGGCAAGGAATTTGTAGTCCACTCATTGGAAATAAATTTGATCTGTTCCTGCATGTGGGTGCAGCAACTCTGAGTACAGCAAGATAGCAAGTAAAGAAGTTGGCCTGTTCTGTATAAACACCTTAATTTATTGGGTAATAGAATAATTTAAAAGTTTCTTTTGAAAGAAATGCGCTATTTTTCCCCCTCAAAATTGTCCTTTAAACAGACTTCGAAAGGTGATGAGTTCTTTTCTGTTCTAATAACTTTTATGAGCCTATTTTTATGAGAAGCAAACCTTGCAATCAGCATTAAGATTTCCCATTTATGCCTTCGCTAAAGCATGTCCAGTTAAYTGCAAAATGTCACTTGTCCTGAGCAGATGTCTGGGTACCACAAGCTGGYGTTAAGCTGCCCTTTAGCAGAGTTGCATCAGTTCATTGCATTTCACCTGGTGTGGGCCAGCACCACCTCTCAAGCGTTTTGCAAGAAAAAAATTCATCAGAATTTCTTTACAATAGCTGAAAGACGGCGATTACTGCAAGATCAAGGTCATGGTTTCCAGGTTTAGGAGTTTGAATTTCGCTTGTCCCATTTATTGTTGCTCTTGTGAGGCAGGGTCTTCAYACTGATCCGTTTTTATGTGGGTTTTTATACCTCCCAATTTATGTATTAAAGCCATGCCAAATYATCTGGAATGCCAGGCAGCAATTTCCATCCATGACACTTGGTATGCAAATATCCACGTTACAGCTCACACATGGAGAACTTTTCCTGCAGCTGTTGGAGATGCACATTCAGAAAGTCTTTAATAATGAAACCACCCTTGCACTGCAGTAATGAAAAAATTCCTTGAGGGATGTTTTCTCCAGCAGGGACAGCATGCAATGCAAACCCTTGAATTCAGACAGGGCGGGTTTTTTGTTCTTCTTTTAATCTTCGGTCTTTCTTCCCTTCTYGATCCTCTCAAATACTTTCTCCCTTCTTTCTGCTCCTGTGTCAGCTGCTGCCTGGCAACTTTTCTCTGTGTGGTGGGACAGGGCAGGGCACCCGGCCTTTGGACTGGCTGCCAGCACCATCCCCTAGCAACCAGGCCAGGCACTGTGATGCTCTGCAGAGGGCTGCACACCAGGCAGCAACCTTTGTCCCCACTGTCCCTGTCACATTGGGCACTGGGAGAGTCACTGATGTGACCATCCCTTGCCTTGAAGGCCATGGCTGCTACACCATAAACAGCAGCACAAGCCAAGTTCCAGTGAGGCAGTCAAGGCCATTTCATAGTGACTAATGCCAGAATTACCTTTTGGTGATAATTAATATTCCTGTGTTGTGTTACACCAGCAAGTATGAATGATTGGTTCTACTTTGTTTAATTTATCTCAATAAGAGATTTCATAATATTCTATAGTTTGATGAATTAATTTATTTAACTTGTCAGTGTTAATAACTCTGATTAGGAGGAAGAAGTTATAAAGTACCGTAGGTGCGAACAGACYTCTAACAGCAGTTTTAACTTTGAATTTACTTCTGACAAGTAATTCACTCTGGTCTCCTATGCAATCAACTTTCTTTTTTTGGTTGTAGCAAGGAAAAGAGATTCCCTCAATTCTTTTCTGCCTCTGTCCTCTGGATCTGCTCTCTGTTCAACTCACCTGTGCTTCTGGTTTGTTTTTTTTTCAAACGGGACTGAGTGAAGACTTCAATAAATATTTGACAAGCCAGTGTGGATCCTGATGTGTGTATCTGCCACTGGTCCCACACACCTTGACATGCAGACACCACACAGAAATCTGAACACAGCTGAGTGCATTCAAACAGCAACAGGGAGGCTGGATATGCCGAAACTGCTTCCAGCTAAAATTGCCATTCCCTTTTTTTTTCTCAAGTCAGAGGTTAAGGAAAAGTCTGTCATATAGCAGGTGATTGCTGGAAGCATCTGAATTATAATATATGTACATATACTGGCTTGGATTATAGTCACTTCAGCAAACATTTCTGGGTTTATTCATAGAAAATATACATTAAAACTTTCATACAGTTCTTGGTGAAGCCTTTTTTTGGATGTGGAAAGGAGATAGGAAAGTGGCAGTTACTTCTATATATTTTTACTGTCTTGTTGAGCTCATCCCATTCCATCACACAGAGATGTACCATACTTCCATCACTTCATAGCAATTGATGTTTMATGTAAATGAAGTTGAGGCGAATGATTTATCAAAGGTCAACTTTTATTTGCTCAACAGCCTGTATTTTAAAACCAGGCCTCTATGAGAATTCTTGCTTCACAGAATTATTTTAAAGCAAGTTACATTTTTAGGCAATTTGAAAAAGAATTACTTATCAGTAATTGCATTTTTAGTCGTAATTCTCGCTGCATACTTCATACCGACACTTTATGTCCTGTAAACAAGGAGGCCATTGACTTTTATTATAAATAAAATTTAAATATTTTAATACATTTATGTGCATATGTGATCGGCAGTATTGAAAGCAAGATCAATCAGTTCTTCAAAGCCTCTCATAAATGTTAATGTTTAAAATGGGCACTAAATGGCACCGTATCATTAAAGCAAATTATTCACGGAGAGTAGTGAGGACTGTTGTTAAATAAGTATGGAATAAGAATGAAAAGGAGTAAATTAGATGGTTGAAAAGCAGGGTTTTAGTTGAGGTGTTTTTGTGACAAGGCACGAAAGGGCAGCACGCCAATTAACAGATAATGTTTGGGGGGAAAGCATGACCACTCATCACCCTGCAGACCTTGAAAGTTTGCAGAAGATGCAAGAAGTCAAAATGAAAGAAGACTCAGTATTCAGCATTATGGGCAGTGTGTTCACTGTGAATACGTGTGAACAGTCCTCGCATGTGGGAAATACCGCTGATTTCAAGAGCAGTTCCTTAAAACTCGGAATTCCCTTGTTTTCCTTCATACATTTTTCATTCTCTGCTCTACTGTCTACACATTTTCGTATTTGAAATGCAAAAGGTTGCTCAAATAAAGCTGCAATTAACACCTAAGGGCCATATAGGTGGCTGGGGGAAGCGGGGTCTAAGGCAGGACACAGAACAATCTCTTCCATAAACCCGGTGGAAAGATGTTCCAGTGTGACATTCAGTGTGACTTCATTTTGGTCATAAAAGCAGCCGATTTCCAAGACCATGGACACTGCCAGATTTTTTTCTTCTTAATTCAGACCTGTTTCTGTATTAGCAAAGGGTTTCTACCCTGGGATCCATAATTCTGCTCGGTTATGGCTGTATACATACTAATTGACTGTAGGGGAATTACACAGGCTTTAAAGGCAGTAGATGAAAGCAGATTTTGATCCAACTAGATTTTACTCTTTGGCTGTAAATTGTTTGCTATAATCAAGCAAAACTGTCCTCCTCTGTGAGTCCTAGAAGTCCCAGAGCTCAAAGGTGACTCTTGGGACCCAGACTGAGCTCTTCAGTTTTTTGGGCAACAGGGTCCTTCCCCCAGAAATAATGAAATTTCCCACCAGAAATAATGAAATATTTGCCATAGTACATTGTGTACTTTTCTGTCCTTCAGCATCGCTTGGCATTTCTGGTCCTGGAAGCCTCTTGGCCGTAGTGTTTCAWATAAAAGGTTTTTGGGTTCTGCGCTGGGGATATAAACGCAAAGATAAAGAGCTGAGGCTTTACCCTTGGAATGTGAAGGTCTCAGCCATCAATATTATCACCCGRCTGTCTTTGGAGAAAACTAATATCTGAGGATGATGTAGAAGCTTTATCACCTTTCACCTTTTAAAGSGTCTGGGTTTTTAAGCAAAATAACAAATGTGTGAAGATGTGATAAACTGTATTTTTGGTATTCGGCAATTTCAAGTTAATACTCCTAAGTAAAGTMGTAAAAAGTCTAAATGCGAAATACAGGCTGTGAGCTCAGACCTACCTCAAAACAAAGAAGAACACTTGGAGAGTCATTGGTGTTTTGAGATGGCATTGTGTCACCAAATAGAGTGATCCTCTCCTTTCATTGTCAGTGAATTACTTAAAAACAAAGCCCTATTCAAGAACAGGTTGGCCTGGAGCCACCTGGTCTACTGGAAGGTGTCCCTGCCCATGGCAGAGGGTTGRAACTGGACGGGCTTTGAGCTCCTTTCCAACCCAATCCATCCTGGGATTTTGTGGAGCATCATTAACCTAAATCGAGTTTACCTGGGCAGCTTTGAACGTCGACTTCGTATTCACATTCTGAGGCCGCGCGCACCCTTCCCTCAGCATCGCCATATCCGCAGCTTCACACGGCAGTGGGGTACGTGGGGTTTCGATTTTTTTAAAAATTTTAATAAACATATATA